CTCATCGCCAAATGTCAATTTCTGCAGGTTAGCTGGCCACGCGACTCGATGCACACTCTGGTTGGACTCATCGCCAAATGTCAATGTCTGCAGGTTAGCTGGCTACGTGACACCTGCCAGACTCTGGTTGAACAAGGTGCCAAACATCAATGTGGGCAAGTTAGCTGGCAACGTGACACCTTGCAGACTCTGGTTGGAATAGGCGCCATATGTCAATGTCTGCAGGTTGGCTGGCAACGTGACGCCTGCCAGACTCTGGTTGAACCGCTCGCCAAATGTCAACGTCTGCAGGTTAGCTGGCAATGTGACACCTGCCAGACTCTGGTTGAACTCGGCGCCAAATGTCAATGTCTGCAGGTTAGCTGGCAACGTGACGCCTTCCAGACTCTTGTTGAACTTGCCGCCAAATGTCAATGTCTGCAGGTTGGCTGGCAGCGTGACACCTTGCAGACTCTGGTTGAACTTGCCGCCAAATGTCAATGTCTGCAGGTTGGCTGGCAGCTTCACACCTGCCAGACTCTGGTTGAACCTCCTGCCAAATGTCAACGCCTGCAGGTTCACTGGCAATGTGACACCTTGCAGACTCCTGTCGAACAACTGGCCCAAAGTCACCGCGGAAATTGCTCTGAGATCTGCTACTTCTGCTAGCGTAAGCAGAGTTTCCGGACGGCACAATACACGTTTCAAACTCAATGCTGCGTGGCCGGCACCAACCCGCTGGATAACATACGTAATTTCTGCTTTTGGAAGGCGTCTCACGGAGAGCCTGCACTCTTCCAAGGTGCCTTCACCAGACATCAGTACCAGCTTTGCCCCTGCTGAGATGCCAATCCTTGCCTCGAGGGCCTCGGACAAATCTTGCAGCGTTGCATCATCGTCCTGGAATGGGATCTTTTTTGGGATCTTTTTAGGAAATTGGGGACCCTAAGAACCTCAACGGCATAACGGGATCATGGGGAAATTGTGGGGGGGGAGGTTCGCTAATGAGAGGTCTACAGCACATTTGCTTGAAACATTCCATCCTGCATTTTGCTCACTGTGACTCAAGAATCAATGAAGCTGTTGAAGATGACATCTCAATCATTTCTATGAGAACTGAAGCCACCAAGAAGTGCGAGGCTACCCAAACCAAAAAACCCTAGGCCCTACCTGGACCTATCGAATACCCATCATGGCCTTTGACCCGCCACAAGAATCATCTAAGCTCATGTTCCGGTTGTTTACGTGACTTCCCAGAAGTTGCCCAGACAGATCTCTACGCAGATCCTTCAAGTAATACAGCAGACGAAGTCATTACCGATACTCTTCTGAGGTCTGTGCTACAAAAGGTTTAGGGGTTTTGAGTTTAGGGGGAATCTAGATCTGTAACCTTGGCAGTTATGTAGGCTTCTCCATAAGAGGGATCGTACCAATGAACTAGGTCTCTGGGATCCTCTTCCTGGGCGGTATCTATTTGACCCTAAACCCTGTTACAGCCTATAAAGCTCCTAAAGGAACGGCCTTCAGGGTTTAGGGTTCGAGCGTTGAGGGTTTAGGAATAAACCCTAAACCCCTAAACCCCTAACCCCTAAACCCCTAAACCCTAAACCCAAAAACCCAAAAACCCCAAACCCTAAACCCAAAAACCCTAAACCCAAAAACCC